CAGCAGATTTTCCCACAACTGCTTCCTATGGAGCCCTTTCACCTTCTGCTGAGCCATCGGGAACTGCTGGAGACGGGACACTGGGCTAGACGGACCATGGGTCTGATCCAGTTTGACAGTTCCTCTGCTCCTATGTCAAAGAGGAGACCGAGTAGCCTGCTCTTCCCAAAGTACGTCTGACGGGAGGGTCATGCTCCAGCCGTATAACAGATCAGCAGACGCCATATGAAAAAGACGGGCAGAAAATGCAAAGTGGTCGCACTGGTTTATGTGCCAACTGGTGTAGGGCCATGGCAGGAGCCTGTACCCAACATGCCTAGTAACCTGGCAAATGGCTCTTATTTTGTGTGCGCTAGGAAGAGGCTAGATTCTCCCTAATTAAGGGTGAAGCTATTTACACCTGCTAAGTGCCCATGTAAAGCATTGCTTCCTGGAGCTCTGTGTGCCTCACAGAGGGGTGCAAAGGTTCATTTTCCACGAGTTATGTGCTTTACCGATGGGAACACGGCGATGCAGGCAGGCTATGGCACTCCATGAGCAGTCATGACCGTGGAGCCGTAGAGCCGCTGCATCCCAGGGCTTGTCTAAGCTTCATTCCTCTTCCAAAAGAGGAGTGTCAATGAGCCTGATCGAAAATTCAAATGATTTACAAATCTCGCACTTCATTTGCATAATCGTAGAGCGCTTTTTCGAAAGTTTTTTTTTCAGGTGTACGGACTCTTTCGAAAAAGGGTGTCTTTTTTAAAAGAACCTCTTCTAGACTGCAACTTTTTCGAAAAACCATTTTTTGAAAGAGCGCTCTCCCGCGATTATGCAAATGAAGCGCGAGATTTGTAAATCCACGCGTGATTTGAATTTTCGATCGGGTTAATTTACATTCCTCTTTTGGAAGAGCCCTCAGAAGATTAGGCTTGAGCTGACTTCCCTCCTGGTACCGGAGGAAGGCCACAGCAGAGCTAGGAGTGAAACCCTCATCGCTCAATTGACACTCGCTTGCTATATGCACTCGGCCATGCAGGTCCCAATACTGTCCTTGGGTACACCCCACAGCCCCGCTGGAAGAAGCTCGGCCTAGCTACGCTTCACACCACCTCTGTGACTTGGGTAAGGGGGATTTTAGGGTGCTCAGTCCAGCAGAAATACCCTGTAGCCACCCCAGCGAGCAACACAAAAGAATCTCGCAGTGCAAGGCAGGACCACAGCACGTGAAGCGATGCCTTAGTCCTTCGAGTGGAATCACAGGAGGAATTTTAGGTGAACAATATACCTGTCCAAGTCTGAATGTGAGCAAGGCCCTGAGCTAATATTCCTGACCTTACTAAACGGATCAACAGAATTGTAATTACTATAGGCAGCCAAGGCCTCGACAGCCGTCCCACTCTCTAATCACTTGAGGGAGGGGCTTATATTTTATGTATATATGAAAACACACCAGAAGTAATTAGCTTACATTATGGACTGATTGTTCTCATCTGTGTCATTCCTAAATGTATAGAAAGCATCTTGCAGCTGGTGTATTTCCAAGTGCCTGGGATGTACGTGAAAGATCCATTATTTGAGAATAATCTCATTTGAAAGCAGGCTCGTTGTGCTGCTCTTCTCATGAGCTTTTTCTGGTTCATCGTTACCGTGGGGGAGTAGGGAAGCTTTGTCAACTGGATTTAATAGGCTAAAAAAGTCATCCACAAAGTAGGCCACGAGCTGCCGTGGTGCTGAGAGGAGCATAAAGGCGTTACGCAGGATTGACGGGCGGGAGGTTTCATCTTGTACGTTCTCTCGTCTAAAAAGGAAGCGTGGCGGAAGCGGTTGTGCAGCTTTTCACAGCAGCTCGGAGGGGGCTGCTCTATTTACGGCGGGTGAGGACATTTTTCCTAAGCACCAGCCAAAAACCCTGAACTGTCCTTCAGCCTGGCAAGTCGAGAGGCGGCAGACCCACCTCAGCAGAGGAGGACGCCAGGCCTCAGAATTACCCAGCTTTGCCCCCATCTTTAGTCATTAGTCAGGGCTGTGACCTCCAGCCTGTGAGACCTGACCCTACCTGTGATGAATGGGTTTAATCTCAGGCGTGACGCGGGGGCTTTCGATGCCTGCAGGTTAATCAATTTCACTTGGCAGGGTGCACTGGGGAGTCCTGCTAATTGATTGAGCAGCGGGCTCCTGGGTGGAGGAGCACACGGGCTTCCTGAAGGAGCAATGCTCTGTGCTCAGCCTCCGAGGGGTGGGTGGGACTGGGGACGGGCCTGGCAAGGGAAGCTATTCTAGCGGAGGATGCATTAATGCCCTGTACGCCCAGCCCGGTTCCACCATTCAGGAAGCATGTGGACAGATGGTAGCCGGAGAGCCGACCTGGAGTCCAGCATGGATCGCTAACATGCTAATAATCTCCAGGCCCTGCTGCCCTTCCTCCCATTCCCATGAGCCGGGCAAAGGGATCTATGCTGCTGAGCAAACCAGGAACAGGCTGGCAAGGGGGACAGCATGCTACCCCACCGGGGGTGTGGCCCAGCAGTGGCTTGGCTTGGATCAGAACTCAAAGGTTACTAATACATATTAAAAATACAGTTTGTTTGGGTGTTTTTGGTAATGGGCCTAACCACTGCAGCAACGACACCGTCCCGCTATGACAGAGCACTTTACCAGGAGCGTGACTGCGGGCCAGGATTTTTAACAAGGGAATAACGGTTCAGGGGCATAATGAAAAACCCAGCGGACAGAAAAGCCGAGCAGGTGCGAGACCAGTCGTGACTTATAGTAATGAGTCCATCTGTATTCTAGTGGCGCCCCTCAGCACCGGCCCGCGAAGGCGTGCGGGCCGAATAACTGCGCTGCACAAACGGCAGCGAGTCAGCCGGAGAATGGAAAGGGGAAGGATGCGGAAGGGGAGACAGAAATATAAATAGGTTGCTCGCCTGCGTTTGAAATGGAATGAGGAAGGGGAAGGAAGCTGGGCCTCGCGGGATGTGAGCGGCATACAGGAGGGCTCCGGTCAGCGTGGAGAGAAGCAGTGGGACACTTGTGGATGGCCAGGGACACGGTCGCTTGGGAGCTCCCATCCCCCAGAGCCGTCCAATCAGTTCTGGAGCAGTAGTCACTATACTACAGGATGCTGCTCTAGCGAACTAGCTACACTCAAGTGACGTCTTCACGGCGCGATCTTCTGGCAGAAAATATGCTAATGATGGGCTCATTAGCATAAGTCACAATCTCATTAGCATATTTTCTGCCATTTCTTTTTGCACAAGGGGTGTTTGTTCAAAAAGAAGCAGTGTGAATAGGGTTTTTTGGCGCCAAAAAAAGCCTCCGTTTTGCGGAAAAAAAACCCGCTCGTCCACACTGCTTCTTTTTGTGCAAAAACCCCTTGCGCAAAAAGACATGGCAAAATATGCTAATGAGATAGCAACTTATGCTAATGAGTTCATCATTAGCATATTTCTGCCAGATGATCTTGCAGTGAAGATCACCCCTCAAGCAGCCACATGTGGCTAGGGGCTAGCGTGTTGGGCAGCACGGCCATAGAGGTGGGTTTGTATCTCTCTAGCCCCCCCTTCTCCCTCCAGTCAATGGCTCTTGCACATGGCAGGGCTGAGCTGGCAAAGGCTTGTGTAAAATGTGCCCCTGCACTCTGGCACCTTAGCAAGGGCAGCGAACAGCTCGGGGATTTTCACTACAAGCGTTCACAGGCCAAATAAGGACTCTTCCAGCCACATGCTGCAGGGAATGCACCAGCCACAGAGAGGTCCGACCTGGGTCTGAGCTGCCATTGCCCGAAAGCCGTTGTTCTCACTTCCGAATGCACTAATGCAGGCGCTAGTTATTCATGCGCACAACAGGGGACAGCGCATCAGACTGAGCGACGTACAGAGAAGGTTGCTCAGCCCTACTCGCTCTCACGGGGGGGCACAAGGAAAGCCTCACGCTGCTGCCACCCCTCCCCCCCCGAATGAGCTTGCTTTAAACTCATAACGTGGCCATGTTGGATGTCAGTGTTATTAAATCCAGCTACCAGCTTGGACTCGCTGGCCCCCTCTGGCAACGAATGCCGGGCTGAGCTCCTTGCTGTATTGGATGCATCCGTTCACCTCCCTGCATCCCCACAATTACCACGTGGTTAGGCGCCGTCTGCTTTAATGGGCTACCACTCAGCTAAACGCAGCAGCGCAGGACGCCCCAAAGCCAGGTTAAAGTCTCTGATTGTACAAGGCTGGAATTCAGTTACAGGGGACGTGCCAGGATCCAGGTCAGCGACCACTTAGAAACACGTTGCACCCTGCTTAGAAGATGTGTCCCTGGAGTCATATCCTTGTGCAAGGGTGACGAGAGAATCTAACCCAAAATGGTGTGTCACGTGGGCGCATCGTCTGAACTACTGGCGTTGCCAAGAGTGAAGTGCTCCGAATCGGTGTCCTTACTGGACAACACATCACTTTTTTATAAGCAGTAGTTAGGAACCAGGAAAGACTTCCATATAGTGACTCCAGATCTAGATTTATTAGCTCCCCTCGACACCCTCCCTCCCCCAATGGTTTTCATTTTCTCAGTTGTTCCGTTGGACTATTTCCCATACCGTGTAGTGCGAAGGTGGCCCAGTTGTGTAACCCTGAGGTAAAAGCTGACCATTGAGCTCTACAAGGTGGCTCATGCTCATTCCCTTCTTTAAGTGGCAAGGTGGCCACGGAAGACTACAGCTCCCAGCATGCAACGCTCCATTGTAAGCTAAATGGCCAAGATTTCAGTGCACCTTGGACAGCCACGCATTTAAAAAAAAAAACAAACCAAAGGAGGCTGCAAGTCTGAAATCTGGTGCCAGCCCCCGGGAGCGCTGAGAACCCCTGGACGCAGGAACGTATAAAGGATGCAAAAACAACGCCCGGTGCCTGTTGTGGCACCGTGTGCTCTGCTGCGTCCTTTCCTGAAGGGCTTGGTGAAACACTCCAAACGTAGCTGCGGTAGCAGATCAGATGCTCCCATCCTCCCCCATCCCTGGTGGCCTGGCTACTCACTGTTGTTCTGCTTTGGCGCGGTCGCTGAGGAAGAAGAGGGCCGTGGCCAGGAAAAACATCCCTCCGAGGACGACGACCAAGGGGCAGAGCATGAGTGCGTAGCCCAGGCTGAGGAACTCCCAGAGCGGGGACTCCTTTGTGCTTTGTTGTATCAGGTCTGAGATCTAAGAGAGAAGGGCACAAAAACCCAACCAACAACGTTACTCAAAGTGCAAGGCTCGGCGTGCTGCAGAAATGGATTATCATTCCCCGCAAGGGGGCAGCTTTCCTAAGACAGCTGCCCGCTGCACACGTGGGCTGAGCTTTCAGTTGGGAATGTCTGTGTGTTAAATATTGTGTCCCCTCCATGGGTTTTAAGACACTTACTCTGTACACACCATTCGTCTCTGTTCAGGAGACCTCGGTTCATTTGCAGAGAGGGGTTTATGAAGCGTTCTCTTTTCCTTACCTCTTTTGACCTGCTGCCTCATTATTCCCACACTCCTCTCCCTTTGTCCTCCCCCCTCCCTCTCCACACTGCTTTGGCATCTGACTGTGTGCTAACCAAGACTATTAATGAGTCTGCACCGCAACATGGGGAAATATGACCCTGCTGCAGTGTTCCCTGTAAGCTGTGAACTCAAGAGCGATTCCAATGCCACCCAGTTGTTTAGCAGAACACCCGCAGGTAGGTTTTTGGTTTCTACTGATGGTGCACATTTGCACATGCTTTGGTGCACATAGAAAAATGTATTCTGCACATGGGTAGGGTTGCCAGGTGTCTTGTTTTTGCCTGGACAGTCCTGCAATTGCGTCTTCTGTTTGGTAAAAAACCTCTGGAAAATACTGGACAGAAGGCTGCCATGTTTGGGATTTTTGAGATTTTTTGTGAAAGTACCTGGCAACCCTACACATGGGTGAAAAAAATTAGAGGGACCATTGCCCTCAAGCAATGTCTATAAGGGCTGGTTATACCTACCATCTAACAGCAGGTGCATTGAATTCCGTGCAACTTAACTCTGTATGTTTGTTGCGGGGGGAGGGCTTCAATGTCAAAGCTTTTCAAGGACCACACATTCGTCTGAGGAGAGACCCCTGTCCTCTTCGCTTTCTGTTCTATCGCGTGCCCGTTATTTGTCTTGCAATCATGCCTAGGGGATCCCAGTCCTGGAGCAAGGACCCATTGTGCTACATGCTGCAACAAACACCGAACAAAGAGCCTTGCCCGAACAACTTCCAGGCATAGCAGCTGTTTCCTTCTGCCAAAGAAGAGGCATGACTTAAATGTGGGGGGGAAGGGAGAAGGTGTGCTAATGTAATTGCCACTAGGTGGATTTGAACCTGGGCCCCCTGGAGCTTAGTGTAGGAGCGTTTGAGCTAAAAGCCAGCTGGTGCTCAGCTTAGGCTGTAGGGCTCCCTTGTTCTTATCTCTCGTGGTAAGTGGTCTAAGTGCCCCTCCATGGGACAGTGACCCACACCCTCTAGGTGCATGGGTTACGCTAGTAGCCTGGAACATGGGGCCTGGTGTCAGGTCTGAGGCCTGAGCCAAAAATTGCGAACTAAAATCAGGCCCTGCAGCCACGTAAGCATCTAGTAGGTGAACTGGGCAAAGTTGTTGCTAGTTGATTAGGAACTAGATATTTATGCCAACATGCTCCAGTGAGTACAGATACCTCCTGAGCTATTACAAGATAAGTTGGTTTGACAAAACAATGAACAGGGATGTTTTGCCCAAAATAGCAGGACCACGGAGAGGCAAACAGGTGCCATGAAACACGTAAAGTGGAACGTACGATGTTTATCCCAGTTGTTTGTTTCAGTCGGGGTGTCTCGCCTTAACCCTTTGTGTGCCTGAGGAAACTGCAGAAACTTCCGCTGCTGACTGGACCACTCCTTGCCACAGAGCACTCATCTGTCAGTATTCCTGTAACCCCGGAGCCGAGGTACTAGAACTGTGCCTTGGGGGCAATAACCCTGGTTGAGTGCCTTTGTTGCTGAACCATGCCTGTATCTTTCTTTATGAGCTAACCACGAGATCTGCTGTACGAGCAAGCTGCACTATCGGCTGTGAGTGCCGATTACACTGGCGCTCCAAGGACAAAAGCACTGAGTGGCATTACCGTGCCAACGACATTCCCGCCTTCGACACTTCGGCTACGTCTATACTGCCGCCTTCTTCTGCAAACGCTTATGCAAATGAAGCGTGGAGTAGAAGATTGCCATGCTTCATTTGCATAATTAATGAGCAGCCGTTTTTGCACAAGAGGCTTTTGCGCCAATAAAAAAAAAGAGCAGTGTAGATGACTCCTTTTTGGACAAAACCCTCCTCTTGTGCAAGAGCTGGTCTTCCTCATTTTTTTAGGAAGAACAGCTCTTGCGCAAGAGGGGGGTTTGTTGCAAAAAGGAGCCATCTACACTGCTCTTTTTTGCGCAAAAACGGCTGTTCATTCATTATGCAAATGAAACACGGCGATATTCTACTCATAGTCTTCATTTGCATAAGCTTTTGCAGAAGAAGGCTGCAGTATCGACGTTGCCTTCATGGAAGTGAGGATATGACAGTGGACATGCCTCATGGGTGACAGAAATATAACAGAGTGGCATTATTTATTCCAATCTTCTGGAAAGCTTGGTGGCTAAAATGTAGTTTATGTAACATATTTAGGCAAAGCATTAATCATATCTTAGCATTTGCTGGTCAATGATCTAATAAAAATCAGCTTCTAACATGGCACGCGCTGTAACAGCGATGCTCCACTAGAAATGGATATTTAAATGTCAGTGCCGATACTGCAGCTTTTTTTGCTGATGCTGCTGGCAAGAAGACAACTAGCGCCAAGCACAGCAGGGATGCTGTACTGCAGACTCCTCCTGAAACCTGTACTGAGGCCCATTAGACGCTTTCCAAACTAGCCGCGCATGTACTAGCCTTTAAAAAGCCGACATTTCAAGTCTAGGAACAGCGAAAGGTTGTGCAGGGAGATTTCCCTCTCCTCCCCCGACTCTGAATAGCTTCATCTAATGAAGCAGGATCCTCTGTGATAAGAGCAGCAGGTTTCAAGCACAACCCAACAGAAATAAATGACATTTACGTTTGAGATTTAAAGACACCAACTAATTCGAGTGGGAGAAAATCTTATACCCCCGAGCGAATCCCTGACTCGCAGCCCTAAAGCCAAACACAGTGAGGCAGCGGGTAAGAACCATTATAAGAAGCACCGTAGCAGAGAAAACAATTCAAAAGAAAAGGTTCTAGGACTATAAGATATACGGGGACTTCACTGAAACTGCAGCACAAAGTGCTATAAAGGGCTTGTCGTAAGACACCCTCTATATGAACGGGACAGCAGCATTGGTTTCAGGTTCTTAATATTCATCATATTCCTATTACCACTCCGATGGGGACATACGAACTATGGTGAAACGTGTCAAGAAATATACCAAGGGGCAATGGGGCCAGACGCAGGCAATGTCAAATCCAATGAGACCTGGAATAAGGCACTTTTGAGACTTTTTTACACTGGGAAATTAATTCAGATTACGATTGAGTGTGAATTTAAAGATTAAAGAAGAGTGTGAATATAATTCCAAAATAATCCTCTTCCACAATGGATTAAATTAACTTGGCAATAGGCACATTTGTTCCAGAATAAGAGCACCTACAGAGGGAATTCATCTGGAACAGCAATTCTGGAATAACAAGCACTTACCCCAAAACCAGAGCACGAATCTGCTTTAGATTATCATACCCCACCCCATTCCATTCCAGATTAACTTTCATGTGTAGCTAACCCCCTAAATAGCTCTCAGTAGACCTAGTCTGTACACAATTCTGCCATGTAGTGACCTTCCATCTGTATTTAAGACTATTCATGTGAATGGCTAAGAACCAGAAAGTGCTTCAAAAATTAATCCGCAATGAGACCACTTCAAACCAGGCCAAAAGGCCTGAGAAACCTACAGTTCCAATTATAATTTCCATTAACGTCGTATCCCAAACGCTGCATTTACTCTGATTTTCCTTTCCTATGTTGCTGATCTAGTGCTGCTCTATCTTGGTACAACTCAGCACCCGTGATAATTAACACTGTTCTGTTGACTACTTGTTAAAGGAAAGTCATTAGCATTTGTGCTATTTAAGTAGCTCATTAGATTCAGCTTATCAGCCCACTCAAATAATGGACTTGGGGCACAGGTGGGAGGTGAGAAGTGACGGGTTTATGGCTAAAATTTTTCCAGGAACTATTAAGAATCACACAAAGCTCTTTTAAAGTAACAAAACAGTCCGGCTTTGCCTAGAATTGATTGTTTGGTGACCAATGTTCCTATTCATCTTTTTTCATCCGGAGGCGAATTCTTTTCATCCATGCATGGAATAATGTTATGTGCACCAATGCACATGTGAATGTGCACCACCAGGACAAACAAAAAGCCTAGCTGTGGGCACTCTGCTGAACAGCTGGGCAGCATTTCAATCTCTCCTGGGTAGCCCTAAAAGCGCACAGCTTTCAGGGAACACTGCAGACAACCTACATTTTAGTCACTGCGACCCTCTGTTTTGGGGCAAGATGGGTTAATAGGGCAATGAATCTGCTGCAGTCCCCTTCCAGCCAGGTAATCAAAGCTCCTGTCTTGGAAACGAACACACATCCGGTGCCAGATTGCCAGGCCCTGGGCTCCAAAATGAGGACGTGTATAGAGCACCGGGGCTGAAATGACGTCAGCAGCAGGAACACTTCACACTACCCAAGCTGTTCCAACTGGGCGAAGAGAAGGGAAGGGCAGTCTCCGGGAGAGGGCAGAGGTGGGATTAGGAGATACTGAAGCTTGTGTCAACGCATGGAATTTCCTTGGCAGCTCAAAGGCAAGTGTCTGCTACAAACCGCTGGTCACTGTCACTGCTAGGCCTGGAAGCAGAAGTGAGGACGAAGGAGGAAAACACGGGTTGTGCTCGGATAGTGACTGACGGCACCAGGAGCGTTCCAAAACACACTTGCGTTTCCTGACCTGAAGGATTATGTCAGGAGACCAAGGAAAACTGCTGTTCATGTATGGAAATCTGGTAAAACCACCCCCTGAAAACAGGCTTATCTGTGTGTAACCACCATGGGGCAGATTTGAACTGTGGACCTCTAGGCTATGTCTACACTAGCGGCTTCTTGCATGAGAAATATGCAAATGAGGCTAAGCGTGGAATATCGCCGAGCCTCATTTGCATACCTAATGAGCCACCATTTTTGCAGAAGAGGCTCTTGCACCAGAAGGAGCGTCTACACTGCCCCTTCTTGAGCAAGAAAAACCCTCTTGCGCAATGCCCTTATTCCTGAAAATAATCAGCGTAGCGGCATTGCACAAGAGGGTTTTTCTTGCTCAAGAAGGGGCAGTGTAGATAGCTCCTTCTGGCGTAAGAGCCTCGTCTGCAAAAATGACGGCTCATTAGGTATGCAAACGAGGCTCAGCGATATTCCACGCTTAGCCTCATTTGCATATTTCTCGCACAAGAAGCCACTAGTGTAGACATAGCCCTAGGCTGCGTCTAGACTGGCATGATTTTGCGGAAATACTTTTAATGGAAAAGCTTTTCCATTAAAAGTATTTCCGCAAAAGCGCGTCTAGATTGGCATGGATGCTTTTGGGCAAAAAGTGCTTTTGCGCAAAAGCATCCGTGGCCAGTCTAGATGCGATTTTGCGCAAGCAA